TGGGCAGAGGCTCCACTGACTTGAGGGCTCTCGGGGTGCTCTGCGAGTGAGGCTGTGGGTGACGTTCACGGTGACTTACCCGCTTTCCTCTTCTTCCAGCAAAGGGAGGCGACCAACCATCATCCTGCGCACGCAGCTCTCGGTCCGTGTCAATGCCATCCTCGGTGAGTCCCGACAGCCAAGAGCTCTGGGCCCCGCCCTTCTGTGTTCCCCGCGGCCGTGAGCAGCAGCACTGTGGCCTGTAGCCATTTGGGGCCTGGCTAATCCGGCAGATGGGCTCATGCGTGAGCTCCGGGGGGCTGGCTCCGTTCCCAGGCTGCTTTGCACTCCAGGATTCTCTCTTCCTTCCTGTCTGGTCGTCCATGGCTAGAGCGGAGCAAGGGGGCAGCCTCAGCAAGGGGGCAGCCTCTCTCAGGTGCTTGCTCGATGACCATGTGTGACGGCGCATTGGGGTCCCCCGCCTTCTGCACCCCCGTAATGGCACAAACTGACTCCACCACCCAATAGAATAGAGGAAATTTATTGCTTCTCCAGGATACAGCACAGATATAATCTGGTTCCAGGGCAGGCCTAGGATGCCTCAGCCCCCTTGAGATGGGGGAGGCTGGGCCCCTAAATTCCAGCCCCTTTCCCTAGGCTGTCTCCTCCATGCTCCCAGAAAGAAACTAACTCTCTTCCAGCTCTGCCCCCAGCCAGGGGCGGCATTCCCCCTTCCTTTGTTTCTCTCCCGGGGGGGATAGCTGGTAGGACAGGTTTGGAGCCCCTTTTTGCATAATGACTCACCCCCTGCCCTCCTGGGCCGTGCTGCAGCCAGTGGAGGTCACCCACAGCCTACTGCCCAGCATTGCAACCAGCAAAGTACCCCCACTACGTCACACTGTGTGGACCCTGCCATGGGGCGGGAAGGAACTTCCTCCCAGACCAGAGCGCCAGCAACCTGGAGAGGCTGCACCTTCCCATGCAGCCTGGAGCATGTCGTCCTTTCCGTCCTCTTCTTCCTTGTGGCTCGCAGTAACCTGAACTCCTCTGGGCTGTGCGAGGGGTTCAGTGAGCGGCTGCTAGGGGTCAGACGTCACACTGTGTGGACCCTGCCATGGGGCGGGAAGGAACTTCCTCCCAGACCAGAGCGCCAGCAACCTGGAGAGGCTGCACCTTCCCATGCAGCCTGGAGCATGTCGTCCTTTCCGTCCTCTTCTTCCTTGTGGCTCGCAGTAACCTGAACTCCTCTGGGCTGTGCGAGGGGTTCAGTGAGCGGCTGCTAGGGGTCAGTGCAGGATGGACCAGACTAGGAGACCTGGCCCCACATGCTGACTATGGCTCTTGGGGCCGAAGGGGTTAATTCTTCTCTGCATGCAGAGCCCAAGTACGACAATACAAAACACATCGCAGGCTACAGATATTCTGGGTCGCTTAAGTGAGCCTTAAATAGAGCCTTGGAAAGTACCCACGGCAGGCTCCCGTGGCCACTGCTGCCGGGGGAGCAGGCGTGGCACGGGGCCAGTGGCCTGCTGAGCATGGGAGGGAGGGAGGCCCGCGCTCAGGCCACTGGTGCTTGCAGTAGGAGCCCAGGGGAGAACCGCGGGGCGGCTTCCCGGCGAGCTCAGACCAGCGTTTCCTGAAGAGCAGGTTCCAGCCCTGCGTTTGGGAGGGGCCAAGAGGGATTGCACGTGCCACGTACCCCCCCTCCCCCGTGTCATGCTTTCACTTCTCCAGGCAGTCAGTCTGGGCGTGGGCCCTGGTCTGGAAGGTCCTGGGGGGCCCCCTTCCCTGCAGGCTGGGACAGCCCCTCCCTGGGTTCCTGCGGAGGAATTGTGCAATCCCTTGCCTAGAGTGCAGAGGTCAGGGCTCCGTCTGTGGGGACTTCCCAGCCCTGGCTGCGGCCTGCTCTGCCTGTGCCTGGAACTCTGACAGTCGGCAGCGGGGGGCTGAGGACACAGGATTTGGGAACAGAGCCCACAGCCCCACTCTGTCCTGAGCATGAGACCCTCCCCCCACTGCGTTTCCTAAAGCCTAGCCCAGCCTAGACGCCAGGCCCAGCGCAGAACTGGGGCGCCTTCCCCTGCCCCCTTACCCAGCTGCCGGGATTTCAGCACCGGCACCCCATGGTGCTTCCAGTCAGCGGGCAGCGATCGTGTGCAGGAATCCGCAGCCTGCGCTGGGCAGAGGCGTTTCTCTAGCCCAAACCAAACACGGGCGCTGCAGCGCTCTGGCGCAAGCCGTCCTGTGCTCAGCGGGAGAGGAGCGTTGGCTGGGACCCTTGCTCCCCCCAGCTGCAGTTTGCAGCAGCACCGGCTTTGGGCCAGGCCATCAGAATCTGCTTCTTGTTCCTGGATACGGGACTTGTGCCCGCGGCGCGTCAGGCCCAGGCCTTGTGCAGCTCACGGGGCAGGCCCTCTGCACAGAAAGACGGAGCGCGGCTTTGCACCCCGGGCGCTGGGGGCTGCTGCTGGAGCCAGCCTGGGTTCAGCCCGAGCCCGGCTTTGCACCCCGAGCGCTGGGGGCGGGCCTCGCTCAGACCGGGCGCGGCTGCTGCAGGGCCCTTACCCTGTTGTCCGGCTGATTCAGTCACTCGTGCTTTCTTGTCCTTTTCCCGCTGGGCCTGCAGCTCCTCGCTCAGTCCCCTCACTCCACCCGTGTCAAGCCCCTGCTGCTTCTGGGTGCCCTGTGTAAGCCCTGCCCAGATCTCCGGTCCCTCGCGCTCCGCTGGGGGCAGCGGGGAGCACGGGTGAGGCTGCCTTAGTGCCCAGAGATCCGGGCTCTTTTCTCCTCCCCTTTAGTGCTCCCTCTGCAGTTTGAACTACTCCTCTGCCCCGGGAAGATGCCCTGAGCTGCTGCCTTGTCCCTGGAAAGGATGTTCCCTAGGGAAGCGCAGGGCCTGGGGCCAGTGCCCCTGGCATGGGGCCCAGGGAAACCTGCTGCAGGCCCTGCTCTGCTCCACCCTCCCCAAGCAATGCGAGGCAGGGAATTATGGGGGGCCTCTCCTGCACTCACCACTGTGGCTCTGCTCCACCCTGCCTTCCTCCGCCAGCCTGCTGTGCCCCGGTTTGCCCTGGGGCCGGGCCGCCCTGCTTCCCACTGCCACGGTGAAGCTGTGCCGTGCCGGGAGAGGGCAGCAGGGTGCAGCAGGGCAGGCTGCCGGGTTCCAGATCCCACTGCTGCAGGGTGGGGGGGTGTTGACCTCCGTCCCCGGGTAAACCCCCAGGCTGCCCTGGGACCCAGCTGTGGGTGGGTGAGTTGAGGCGGCCGCCACGGATCCCCAAAGTGCGGGGCCTGAAGCAGCCCCTCAAACCGTCCTGTGGGGGGGATGCTCTGCCTCTGGAAGTCGAGTGCACGGGCTGCAGTGCGGGGGGAGGCGGATGGCTTTGCCAGTGCCGTTACCTAGGACGTGCCTGCCTGCCATGGCCAGGCCCAGCCCGCTGCGGGGGCTCCCGCCCTGGGACTGGCTGGCTGCAGTGAGGAGACCTTTCCCCTGCAATCCCTGCTTGTCTAGCAGCCCTGTGCAGACAGCAGCAGGTCTGCGAGGGAGAAGGGGCCAGGGCAGGAGCCGCCCCTCGGGTGCGAGGCGGAGGAGTTTCTCCGGGGTGCGCTCTTGTAGGAGCTCAGAGGGGGAGGGGAAGTATAGAAAGGTCTGTCTGGGGACACACTCTATAGGGCATGCAGATCTGCATCTCTTCTTCCCGGGCTCCGGCCTCCGTGAGCCGTCCCTCGGGAGCCAAGAGGGACCACGGCGTCGCCCACTGCAGGATGTGCCGGGGATCGGTGCGGGCT